TTTTCCACTTATACTGTAGATATATTGAATGTATAATTTTTTGTATTTTGTTTCACCCACACCTGTACTAATGCAAAAGCTGTCTGACTGTTTACTCTGCCGTAATTAAATCTCTCTCTTCACCAGGCCATCTTCCACTCAAACTGTTCTTCCCAAAACATATATCACAACCCTATTTAATAAACTCCAATGACTCCCTATTGCTTCCAGGATCAAATGTGAAATCATCTGTTTATCATTCTAATCCCTTCATCACCTATCCCCATCCTACCTTTCCAGTCTTCTTATACTTTACCCTCGGTCATCCATTTGCAGTGGCCTCCTTGATGATCTTTGCCAAAAATAACAACTCTCCTGACTCCAATCATTTTCATTGACTATTCCCCATGCCAGGAATTCTCTCCCTCCTCATTTCCATCTCTTGGTTTCCCTTGTGTAAGTAACAGCTAAAATCCTACCTTCTACAAAAATCCTTTTTAGAGTTCCCTTAATGCTAGATATTTCCTCTGCTATTATCATCACTTTATCTTCTATAAATCTTGCACATACTTGTTTACATGACATTCCTCACTCCTTTCTTCCTTCCTTCTTTTCTTTGTACCCTTGGCACTTAGCACAGTACCTAGTACGTAGTAGGTACTTGATAAATGTTGACTTGTTATTAATGTCAAGAGAAGCTTACCAATGAGCGTTGTTTCAAGGAGGAATACACAGGGTTAGAACATGGATGTTTAGTTTCCCTCTTTTGCAGATCTTCTAGCCAATGCTAAATGATCACATATAGGAATATTGTACATATGAGGATTCAAGTACAGTTTGGTCCTCTGTGGTCCTTTCCAGATCAGAGGTCATTTTGCTATCATTCATAGATCATGGACAATGCCTCAACAACTAGTTCTTTCAGGGCTTCAGACTGTTTTTTGTGTTTCTATCCTCAGTGCTTAGCATAATGCCTGACATAAAGTAGGTGCTGGATAAATGCTTGTTGACTGATTGAATAATAATGTGGGCTCCCTAAAGGCAGGGATGGTGTTTTTGACTTTCTATGTATTCCCAGCACTTAGCACAGTGGCAGACACATAGCAAACATTTAATAAATGCTTGTTGACTAATACATTTTTTAAAAACATATATATACTACAGCAACCAAGTCTCCCAGTGCTTCAGCAAAACTCTGGGAAGCACTCTAAGGAGCCCTAGGCAGAGAAACATCCTGCAACATCCATCTGAAAGGAGCTGAAGAAAGTGAAAGGAAGGAAAGGCCCAGGTAAGCAGGCAACCTGCAGGGGCCAGACTACCCAATCCTACCCCTAGAATTCCAGTGTTGCTGATTCCAGCCCAACACCATGTAAGCTGCCAGAACCCTACAGCCTCCAACTGCCAGCATCAGAGGCCCCAGCACACAAAGCCAGTGACTAGGCCCTGGGCTCCCAACATAAGAAGCTTTGGTCAGTGCCCCCCTACCACCCAGGAGGAGAGCTCAATCTCTTTAAAGGCCAGGATAAAAGCAAATACCATGAGCAAAAATAAACATATGATAGATTCTTATTATGGGAACAGGGAATATCAAGGCAGAAATTCTGAAGAGGACAATACTGTCAACAAACCCACATCTGGAACCTCAAAAGCCCCAAAATCCTTCTTCAAAGAGCTCAAGAAGGACTGTAAAATTCAAATGAGAGAGGTAGAAGAAAAATTGGGAAAAGAAATGAGAGATATGCAAGAAAGAGTCAATAGCTTGGAAAAGGAAGGAGAAAAATTAACTGTCGAAAACAAGTCCTTAAAAAATAAAATTGGCCAACTGGAAAAAAAAGTGCATTGAAGAAAACAAGTCCCTAAAAAATACAATTGGCCACATGGAGAAGGAGGTACAAAATCTAATAGAAGAAAACAATTTGTTAAAAATTAGAATCGGGCAAATGGAAGCTAATGACTCTATAAGACAGAAAGAATCAATCAAACAGAAACAGAAGAATGAAAAAATGGATGAAAACGTAAAATACCTCATTGGTAAAACAACAGACCTGGAAAATAGATCCAGGAGAGACAATTTAAAAATTATTGGTCTACCTGAAAATCACAATGAAAAAAAAAAGAGCCTGGACAGCATCTTTCAAGAAATCATCAAGGAAAACTGCCCTGAGGTTCTAGAACCAAAGGGTAAAATAGCCATAGAAAGATTAAAAGAATTAAAAGAAAGATAAGGGCCTCATTTCTAAAACATATAGAGAATTAAGTCAAATTTATAAGAATTCAAGTCATTCCCCAATTTATAAATGGTCAAAGGATGTGAATAGGCAGTTCTCAGATGAAGAAATTAAAGCCATCTATAGTCATATGAAAAAATACTGTAAATCACTATTAATTAGAGAAATGCAAATCAAAACAACTCTGAGTACCACATCATACCTATCAGATTGGCCAACATGACAAAACAGGAAAATGATAAATGTTGGAGAAGATGTGGGAAAATTGGAACACTAACGAATTGTTGGTGGAGTTGTGAAATGATCCAACCATTTTGGAGGGCAATTTGGAACTATGTCCAAAAGGCTATAAAAATGTGCATACTCTTTGACCCAGCAATAGCACTTCTAGGACTGTATCCCAAAGAGATAATACAAATGGGAAAAGGACCCACATGTACAAAAATATTTATAGTAGCTCTTTTTGTGGTGTCAAAGAATTGGAAATTGAGAGGATGCCTATCAATTGGGGAATGGCTGAACAAGTTGTGGTCTATGAATGTAATGGAATACTACTGTGCTATAAGAAATGATGAGCAGGCAGACTTCAGAAAAACCTGGAAAGACTTGTATGGTCTGATGCTAAGTGAAGTGAGCAGAACCAGGAGAACGTTGTACACAGTACATTGTGCAATGACTAATATTGACTAAGACCTTCTCAGCAATGCAAGGATCTAAGACATCTCCAAAAGTCTTAAGATAGAAAATGCTATCCACATCCAAAGAAAGAACTATGGAGTGTGAATGCAGATCAAAGCATACTATTTGCTATTTTTTTCTTCTGTTGTGTTTTGTTTCCTCTTTCTGGTGGTTCCTCCTATTGGTTCTAATTCTTCCTTACAATATCACTAATGTGCAAATATGTTTAATAGGAATGTATACATATAGCCTATATCAGATTGTGTGCCGTCTTGGGGAGGAAGGTTGGAAAGGAGGGGGAGAAAAATTTTAAACTCAAAAGGTTATGGAAGTTATTGTTGATAAATCAAAATAAATAATTAAAAAAAAGAAATCATGTCCTAGACATATTAATCTATTCAGCTTTAGAACTCTTGCCCTGGAGTCAAATTGTTTTGATTGTTAAATGCAAACTCACCTAGGCCAGATACTTGACACTTACTAGCTGTGTGACCCTGGGCAAGTCACTTAACTCCAATTGCCTTCCAAAAAAACAAAAAAAATATAGAAAAGGAGAGAAGGAAGTTCAAAGGAGGGCACAGACAGGGAATGTTTTTGTTACTATTGAGTCAAATTTAATATACATTAATAATAATAAATCTAATTTCATAGTTTCATGTGATATTCTCTTTTTTATTCTTTATGTATTGAAACATTTGGGTTTTTTTTTTTTTTTGCTCAGGCAGTTGGGCTTAAGTGATTTGCCCAGGGTCACACAGCTAGTAAGTGTCAAGTGTTTGGTCTGAGGCTGGATTTGAACTCAGGTCCTCCTGACTTCAGGGACAGTGCTCTATCCACTGCGCCACCTAGCTGCTCCGAAACATTTGATTTTTAAAAATGAAAATAAAAACAACTGAAAGTATGATTCAATGAATTCACCAAGGAACTGTAACATATGAAGGAAAAGGACAAAGTATCAAGGAACACTGAAGAAAAAAAATAATGAAAGAGACAAACACAGAGCAGTAGTGTAGTGCAAAGAGCATTGGCACAGAAGCCAGAGGAATTGGGTTGAAATCCTACCTATGGCACTATTTATGTGCCTTTGGGCAAGTAGGGGATTAACCTCTGTAGGTCTCAGTTTTATCACCTATAAAATGAGGAGTCAATGGTCAGCCAAGCTCTCTTTTGACTATATGTGATTCTATGAGACTATGACAGGAAGGAGGAGGAAAAGTAGGATTTCTAGAGAGTGAAGGAAGGAAAGAATATCCAGAATAGACAGTTAACAGAATATGCTGCAGAAAGGTCAAGGCGGATGAGAACTGATAAAAGGACATTGGGCTAGGGAACTAAGAGGTTGTTGGTCATCTCAGAGAAATACAGTAGTGAAGTTTGAAGGCAGAGAGCAAGGCATTGAGGACTGGGTGATGAGGAAGATATAAAGTCAGCGACTATAGTCTAGTCTTTCTAGAAATTTAGTCATATAGTAAGTAAGATAGCTTGAGGGGATGCTATCCTGGCTGTGCCTAAGAATAAAAAGAATATGACCTCCTCAAGAGGAGGGAATGATTCATTCTTTGTCTTTCCGACCCTGGTGTCTAGCACAGAGCCAGGCATATAATGGTGCCTAATAAAAGCTTTTTGACCAATTGATTATCTTCTAAACAGTGAAAAAGAAGCCAGAAGTGTGGGAGAAAAGTGCCTGATGTACACTTGGCTTCAAAGTCATATGAAGGCTTGTGTCTAAAAAGTCCTGCTATTTCTGGATCAGTTTCAAAGATGCAAACTTTTGGATATGCACGCCTAGGAGGAAAATCTGCAGGCAATCTAGATCCCTACTGAGTAATCAGCTTATTTGTTGCAGTACAGATATAAATTAACGCTGGTGCCCCAATACTTTCCTCATCTACATAGCTCTCAGAAATGCTAATTTGGAAAAAAGGTCCTATAGGCCCTCATTTTACACATATGGGGAGACATCATCCTTTCCATCTTAATCCTATAAAAGGTGGACATAAAGAACTGAAGTGATATATGCAAATTAAGAAGGTATTTAAAATTTACTGAAATAAGTAGAAGCAAAAGAAAAATTCCTAAAAGGGCCAAATATGCAATTTCAATAAAGATACAAACCTTTTTCTCGTTTCAGACCAGGATTATTTGCAAACCAGGATCTGGACATTCCAAAGATTGCAGCCACACAGAATTCTCCTCCCATTGATTTGCTGGGTGAAATCTGGGGAGGCGGTTTAACTTTGCTTTAAAAAAACACAGACACACACACAAGAAAACAACAAAAAATTAATATGGTGATATAAGACCCCACTAAAAAAGATTAGAAGTCTTTTCTGATTTTACCCCTTATAAGTCAACTACTTTCAGTGCCTATTGCCATACACTTGCCATAAGGGATTCTATCTGTTGATGGGAAAACATGTTCAACATATACTATGGCAGAAATTATGTTAAAGCTCCAGTGAGAGCTGTCAAGTTAACTTCAAAGGTTAAAAAAAAAAACCAAAAAACTGACTTTGTGACATATGAGGGAGAAATCCAAGTCGGTTCTTTTCAGTTCAATGCCACCTTCCCTGTGGATTTTAAGATGGAAAAGTGGAGCCAGCACAAACCTCTCACAATAACAACAAAATCATTCATCATTCAATTTCAGTTTTTAAGTCGGAAATACAGGATGTGGGGTTGGCAATAAGTGGGAGATAGAAGAGAATGGAGACAACACATACACCCATAATACTGAGTACCAAAATAACCAGATTGCACAGAATGAAACCCCAAAAATGCTCTCATTCAAAATGCCACAGACAATGTGCATGTAGTAGATCTAATGATATGCAATTACATTTGCTGGTCTTCCTATTTGGTATTTATTTTTTCCTCCTTGTTCCTTGAAAATGATGTGTCTGTTGCTGGTCAGAGAACAGAGTGGTTAAAGACTGAAGTAAAAGCTGAAGGCCTCTGGGTGACTAAGGCACCCAAACAGAATCTCTGCTTCCTATATGATTTATGGATAAATGCAGAACAATGCTACGCCTTATTCTAACTACACCAAGAAAGTGTATCTTTTTCTTTTCCATTATCCAAAATTTCCCCAAATAAGGTCTCACATTTTTACCTGGCTAGAAAGAAATGGGACGTAGATTTAAAGCTAGAAGAGAACTTGGAGGCCGCATATACCAAAACTCTCATTTTGCAGATAATGAAAGTGATGCTGAGAGATTTGCCCAAGGTAGCAATGTAGTAGGTAAGAGTGAGATCAAAACCCACAACGTGTGACTCTATATAGTATAATTTCTACTACAGTACACTAGGTAACAGGGAAGACTCTGCACCTCACTGGCAACATTCTTACATATGGAAAGGGGTAAATTTTATCAGGGAGGCAGTATGATCCAGTGGGATTAGCATTGAGTCCCAATTTGCAGACTTATTTGTTTAGTAATGCAGGCCAAGTCACTCTTATCTTCTCAACTGGAAGACAGGCATAATCACATTATATAATATCCCTCTCAAGTATAATAGGAGAAGAAGGCTTTCTAAACCTTAAAGCAAGATCTCAAGCTGAGTCATTATTAATATTAATGAGTTCTACATCACTGGAGGTTTTCCCATAGATTGGAGGATTATTTATTGAGAATGCTACCCAGAAGATTCATGATGCTAGAAAGGGCTAGCAGAAAGGTACTCTGAGTTCTCACTCTGGGATTCTGTTACTCCATATGACAAAGAAGGAAGTGACAGGAAATTGTTTAATTCAAATCAATCAAATTAAATTCAAATTAAATCATACACACAGACATAGACATACACACACACACACACACACACATTCTGCTACGAGGGATGGGGAAGTGAGGAAGAGGTACAAAGATTGAAATAAAACCATTAAGGATTTCACATTCTATTACATGAAGGATTTGCCATTAAGGATTTCACATCCTATTATGGGGGGTACAACATGCACATATCAGCTATTTTGGAACCTGGATACTTCCATGGATCTGTAAAGGAGAACTCAAGTGAGGGGGAACTCTCTACTTAAGCTTTCCTCCCAACAAGAAAGGCACAAACATTATTTAGAAATGTATCAGTCACTTGAGTGAGGATCCCTACCCCGTTTTTGCTCAAATCCTTTATGTTTCAGCTATCATCTTAAATCTTCTAAATTCTACATTGTGTCTTCTTAGAGTCCTATTCCAATGCCTCACTGCAGCGGGCAATGTCAGCAGCAGCCGCAAACCACATATTCCAGAGGGAGAGTTTCACTACCAATTCCACACGCTCACCTGACTAGTCCTGACTATCTGTTCCACTAGTTTTGGCCATCACTTTTTCACTCTAAGCACCTGTGATAAAGGTGTCAAATCTAGCCTCAGCAGTTGGTGTGTAACCTTGGGCAAAGCACTATATTTCTCTTAGCTTCCGTTTTCCCATATATAAATATGGATAATAACAATGTCTATAACTATTTCATAGAGCAACTACAAGGCACAATGGATAGAACACCAGACCTAGGGTCAAAAAGATCGGAGTTCAAATCTAGCCTCAGGCACTAGCTGTGTGACCCTGGGCAAGTCACTTAAGCCTCTTTGCCTAAGTTTCCTTATCTACAAAATGAGCTAGAGAAGGAAATGGCAAACCACTAGAGAAATCTTTGCCAAGAAAACCCCAGATGGGGTCACAACGAGTCAGACATGACTGAAACAACAAAACAAAACATTACACAAGGTTGTCATACTTAAGAGAGCTTTATAGAATTATGGAAATGTGAATTATTGTTACTATTATTACTACAGAGTAAACTAAAATAAAGCTGTTAAACTTACATCTGCATAAAGAGCAACAAGAGCCCTTAAGTTTCCATTTTGTTTTGTGAGATGGGAAAAAAAGCCTAAATATTTATTATAATTAGGTGAGAAAAGAGTGACAATTTAGTCATTTTCAGCTAAGTACTTGCAAATGCATATTTGTTCTGGGTACACTTGGAGAGCTGCTCCATGTATTAGAAACACCTCAGTCTCTGGAGAACAATCAAACCGAAAGGCTTCACAAAAAGGGGATCAAAAATCACATTGAAAGGTAGAGGGTGGGGGGGGTGGGAGTTGAGAGAGAACGGTTTAAGTGTCATGTGGAGGCTGGTTAACAACTTAACTATTTATTTTCTCACCACGGTTGCAGGTCTCACCACGGTGGCAGGTCACATGCCAAATAATTAAAGTAACACAGAGAAACAAGAAAGAACACACTTTCTTCTTCAGAAAAACATGGCTTATCAAAAATTGTATAATAAACTGACCTGAAGTATAGATTTGGGCAAAAAAAAAAGGCCACTTTTTTACAAAGAACCATTAAAATCAAGAGCAGAAATGTGATGGGAGGGGTATATTAAAAAAACATCAATTTACTTCCAGGATGTTAAAAAAAAATACATTCTGTGAGTTTACTAGTCTTGCAACTTAATCAAGTGATGCCAAGAACTGAACTCTCCAGCGTTTCCAAAGTCTTGCATATTACTAGTTCTCTCACATCCAACAATCTGCCCCCCCAAACCTCTCTCCCCATCAATACAATTATCACTTACAGATGCTCACTGACTCCTGCAAAGATTAAAGGGGAAGCTTAAAGATACATCAATAGCTCTTAGTATTTATTTCAGTATTTCTTTATATTGACCAGATCCCACAATCAGTGTTCAATAGATGATCAAAAGTGTTGGCTTCCCTGAAAATTGCTTGCCTGCCCCATGACACAGCTGGGGAATGGGTGTGTGGAATACTTGTAGAAAGGGCTGATTTAATTAAGGTCTTCCCATCATCATGACTACATGGGGAATTTACTTCAACAAAGCAGGATCGTCCCAGAAATATCCCAGGAAAGTGGGAGCCAGGAAAAGAGCCACAGTGTGTATAGGAGAGATTTCTTTTATTATTGTGAAAATCTTTCCTAAACCACAACATCCAAAAGAAGGAAATAGAAAGGTTGACATAATTCCTCCTTTTTTGAGTCAGCTCGAAGGTAGTCTGGAAATGACGAAGTCCACAAAACTCTCAAGTTGAAGCTTTGTGGTTCAGGAGGCCAAAGGATTTTTAAACCAACATCTGACAAGGGCATTATCATGGGCAAGTGTTTGTTTCCACAGTGCCAAATGTTTCTATTTCAAAATAATCTTTCATACACAGAAAGATGAAACCTTGTAAAACAATGACTGGCAGTTAAACCATTTAGCGTGGCTTATTTCAGAAAGTTCTATAGTAATTTCAACTACTCTTTCGGAAATTTATTTTGATTCTAGCATTTTTCTTAATTTTCCATGTCTCATTCTTCTTGTAAGGAGAATCTGACAAATTCCGATAAAAAAACACTTTCCATTAGAAAATGATTCTAAACTAGAGGTATCTGGAGGCTTTGTCTCTTTAGCAAACCTCCCACCACCTGCTCTGTTAAAATAATGAATAAATTAAACACAAGGAAAATATCATTTGTGTCTGAATGGGATTTTGGGGAAGGTTATTAGAAACCAATTCTACTGATAACTGGATGTATCCCACTTTTTTTGAATTTATAAATGAGATCAAAACATCATGATGAACATAGGTGGTGACGGACTTGTTTCTACTATAAACTACTGCTCTTTGCTGCCCCTTAACCTGTCAGTACCTCATAAATTATCTCATGTGAAAAAATTAAAAGGCTGGTTTAGCTTAATTTTTGAGCCAAACCCAAAGCAACATGTGCACCAATGCAACTTTTACCACTTCAAGCAAAGTCACAAATCTAAATCACCAAATTTACCAAATAAATGGTGGCAGAGCACTATTCTCAAGGAAGAAAAGAGAGAAACAAGGTGTGAAGTAAAAGACTTTGGATTTCTCTGAATATCTATCTGACCATATAGCTATGAGAATTATTTGTATTGAAAAAGGAGTTGTGGAGATGTTTGTATTACGGGATGGGTCCTTTAGAGAAATTACTGAAGCCCTGTTTTTGTTTTTTTTTTTCCCATGTTGGTTCATAATGTTTGAAAGTGATCAAGCAAACTCAGATACTAAGCTTCTCCTGCTGGGTTTCTCTCTCTCTCTCTCTCTCTCTCCTCAACTGCAAATATTTGGGGGAAATTTTCAAGTTTGTAACAAGAACAGATTTAACATTACAGGAAAACTATTTCCTCCTTTCTAGATGAATTTACTGTGTACCACTGGATGAAATGTGACCAATAAGGGCATGCATGACAGAAGAAGCAAACAGGAGCCCCCATACCCTGCTGAGATAAACACAAACACGCACAGAGCCACTACAGAAGATGGAGGCACTATTTCTACCCCTTTCTAAAAACACCAAAAGAAATGAGCCAATATATTTAATATTTCTTTTGTAAAACCAAGGAAAAATGCTGATTAAAATGCCCCAGTGGTATGGTATCTCCTAGTTAAATACCCAAGCCCATTTTCCTTCCATTTTTCCTCATCTAAAAGCTTTTAATATTAATTTGTGTGTTCTCTCACTGTTCTGTTCCTTCCTACCGTGCTTTACTGAATATGACCTAAATAGGAAGACTGAAAATATTTGTTAATAAAAAGATAGGATATAATAGCATACTTCCTCCAACCAGACATAGATTATTCTTAAAGACTAAAGTTTTATTTGATGAGTATGACTAAAGTAAAAAATTAAGCTCAATAATTCTACTATCCAAGAAGGGAAATGTTTCTCTCTCCTGGAAAGAAGGCTGAAGACATCCTACAGAAGCATTGTTTTTACTTTAAAATTGTTGTTAACTGTCACAAAAAAAACAACATATAAAATAAGGAAGCAAATATATAAAAAATCCATACCATTTAATAAAAGAAGAGCTAAACAAATCAAGAGACACAGAACTAAAATAAAATGTTTATTCTCCCTGGTACTTTTACATTTTTGCAAAAACATTATTAATACAGAAAATACTATTTCAAAGCTGGTTTAAAAGAAATAACAAATTTGGCTATAATTTATTATGTGCTGCTAAGTAATATATTTAACATCTATAAATATATTGTTTAAATGACTATCATACCATTCAAATAAGCTGAATTTAATATAGTCATTTTGTTTCAAGAATTTTATCAAATGGGTAAATGTATCTGCATATGTATAGGACTAAACATACAAATACAAAAACATTTTCATAAAATAATCTTTATATACTTCTTAGGGCTTTAAAAATTAACTCAAATAGAGTAATAATTTAAACAGCACTGTAGGCACTCTTTAAACAACATATTTTAAGTAATCATTAAAAATAGTCATTATGTTTTTTTAAATCTACATTTTTAAAAAAACAATGATTTTTCCCTATTTACCTTTTTACTCTTCTATATATGGTCACATTAAACTCATGCAGAGTGGTCAGCTAAGCTGACTTAAGGATACATTCTTCTGAAATCAGCACTGATGAATCAAAGAGGACTTAATAGGGTCCTTACCAGAAAACAGTTTTTTCCCTGTACCATCAGGCAAAGGAACTATGTTAAAACTGGCTCATTTGATGAGCAAATGAATAAAGTGCCAGAAAGAAGGACATGAAAAGTGTGATTTACCAAAAGCCAAAACTTCCTTGGACAACTTCATCCATGTTCTCTGCTCCATAACTCCTTAGAAAGTAGCATATGAGATTTGCATTTTGGTTTGTGAGAATCTCAAACAACTGCCCTTCAGTCATATTACATAGAATACTGTTCTCATACGAGTACCTTGCATTCATTTGTTTAGCATAATTTTCATTTCAGATTAGTAAATAAAAACATACTCTCCAAGCTGAGTGATCAATAATATGTAGTGAAAACAGCAAAAAAACGAAAAAACTATTGAAACAAAGAAACTCTTATAAACAACATGTAAGAAGCTGTCAAATCTATATTCATTTGGCTGCCGTAATTTGAGGTTTCATTAAAAGCTTAATGGAAAAAACATGCACTGCAAGGCAAAGAAACTTTTTTAAAAGGGCTTTTTTTTGTTCTCTCCAAGTCTGCATAAGTGAGTAAAAACGAGTTTCTCGTGTGCTAACGATGGCATCAAACAAACCACAAGGCAGTCTTCTGAAAGACAGGCAATGATTTAAAAGACTCCTATATTTCATATATCCCTTTCTTTAATCTGGTTCTTTTAATCTTGTTTCAGCCCAAAATCATTTCTGGTTGACAAGTGCCTTTGTTTAAATATGAAGAGCCACAAGTTTTGGGTCGAATGGTCCTTTCTTATTTCACACAATATTTGCTTCTCCATCCATATTACTATGTTGATTTTTTTTTCCCTTTATACTTAGTAGAAGATATTCATTCAAAGATGAATTTAAACTCCCAGTTCTTTTCCAAACGCTAGTAAGGTAGTTCACTGCTGTGCACATTGAAGGTGTTTTTTGTTTAGTTTGATTCAGTTTGTTTTTTCAGTGCCAGTCTCATTACAAGTTGCACTGGGCGGGCATATGTTTAATATGTTCTAGAGAAACTAAATGATGTCAGTTAAGAATATGAATATAACAATTTAAATGATTCAAGAGATTTTATTCCACTCATACCATTCTTGTTATCATCAATCCATAATAGCTCACGAGCTGTGATTTCACAAGTATCCCTAAGCTTTGGAAAGTGATTAAAACCGCTTTTGCTTAACATATCCTACTTACAACTACGTAATGGAGAAGGAAAATTCTATTTTCATTCTTATATATTCTGAACCTACTTTGACATTAGTTCAAATATCTGCAACATCTAACCTCTTAAGTGTGTTCTTATCCAATTACAGGCTACCTTAGAAAAACACTTATTCTTTTCCTAGGGAGACACTTTTAAGATTAAATCCTGGTCCTATAATAACAAGGTCATGGGGAAATTCCTGTTAGCAGTTAAGCAAACTATACATGTAAATGTCCCCCATACATCTGGAATAGCAAATGAGAGCAAATTTTTTTTTAATATTACTATCTTGCAGTCCATTTCATTAGAGCATAGCTCTTCCACATGAGTCTAATTCTTTAAAAAATACTAATAATGCAATAAAAAATTGTATGGACTTTTCAAAATGACATTTTTCTTTTATGCAATAATAGTAAAAATAAATTCTTATAATTTTTATTTCAGATCTTCATATAAAAGCATGACTTGAACTTTGTTTAAAGTATTATAAACATGTATTATTTTGATTTTTTCAACATTTTCTTTGCTGCTTTCCCCTTAGAGCCTTAATACTAACTCTCTTTTACTTATGCCTAAAATGCATCAAAATTGAAATAGTTTTCTGGGCTGAACCAAGGAAAATTCAGCAAAACTTCTCTATTGCATCGCACCATACCACACTTACAGTTACACAACAAATCCAGAATCTCTTCTCTGTATCCATTATGATATACAAGACAGCTTCCACCATAGTAATGAAAGTTTCACCCTTATTCTTGAGAATAATAAGGGGTTTCTACTGTAATTTTTTCTTTTTAAAGCAAGAGTATAAAATTTTTATTTTTTCTATGACATAATTGGGACCCAGAAAAGTTGCTTTTCAAAAGTTTGAATGTCAATAGTCATTTCCCCACCTAAAAACTACTAAGTTTGCAGTGCCTCCAGCTGTGAATCAGCCCATGCAGTTGAAAACAAAACTACAAAACAGGGTTATTTTCTGTGAGTACAGCAAATGAATTAGGCATGCGGGGATTGAACTGGGACTCACCATGGAGCTTTTATGGAAAAACACCCCGCTCCAAACAGATAAGGCCTTCATGTAAAAGGGGGGAAAAATGCACAAAAAATTAGAATGAGAACTCATTAACATTAACAAGTACAGTGTACATCATGCTGTTAAGGATTAAGCATAAAAATATTCAAATAAGTTAATTGTTTGCAAAGCCCCTGCCAATATTCCAACAACATCCATGGGTTTTATGCAGTCAAGAGGTCTAAGAATTTTCTATTTCCCCCCATTTTCTTAAGCACCCATGTAGGATTCCCAAGATAAAATCAAGTGAAATCCACAGCTATGGGCCCTTCAAACAATATTCAAGTCAAATACAATAATCAGATGGAGAAAACAGTAAGTAGCAGTGTCAATAGCAACAGGTGTGTGGATATGTGTCATGAAATGTTTAAAACTGACTGAAGAAGCTGAACATCAAACTTGCTATAACAGTGAATGACCTGTACCTTGCTGTTGTTATTTACTAGTGACAATCTTAGGCTGCCCGGAAATCATAAAATTTTCTATAAAATGCTGCATATTGATAACAAACAGAAGAATACATTGCTGGGCAGAAGGGACAAATATAAGGTACAGTAACGAGCATTTAGTATGATTTTCTGTCCTTGTTTTTTTTGATTGCATTCCAGGAAATTAGCATGCAGCTTAATAGTGTTGCAAGACATTCACTTCCTACCACTAATCCTCTATGGACTAACTTGGAAAGCAGCAAAATAAAACCACAGTCAATTGTTTTAAATACAACTTAGGATGCAAAATCAAATGCCAGCATTAAATCTAACTTGCATTTCTATTACAAAATATAATCACAGCAAAATATGATGCAGTTCTTACATATAAGAGTAAGAATTTCAATTACATCAAAACTCCAAAGATCAATATTATATAACCTCATTGGCATTAGAAAAGTATGAGAGGTGGGGGCAAATATAAAATATAGGTGACAAGTCTCACTAAACTTCTATCTAAATTATTTTTCATATTTCTGTTAGTTACTGTGGGTCTCTTGGTACTTTCTGAACAAATGGATACAAAGTAAAAATCCAGCAAAATATTGCCACAACATCCTGATGGAAAGAAGATCAGATTTTGGCACAGAGAACACCAAGAAAAGGGCAGAAATAATAAAGCATAAAAAACAAATCAGAAACTAAGGAAAAAAGAAAAACTATAAGCAATTAAAAAGAGAAAATCCAGAAATCTTCTAGATACAAATATATAGCTGTTAATATTTAGATAATCAAAAGACAATTCCAAATAAAAGATGTTACTTCATAATTCATTAGTGTAGTCATTCAATAAGAATGGCTTGTGTACTATTTTTATTTTTTTACTATTTTAACTATTTTATGGTGTAAACAATGAAAAAATACAAAATTGAGTTAAGATTACGGGGTCCCGGATTTAAAGGAGCCCACAGACTAATAGAGGAGACATATATAATAGCCTTAATGCAAGAGAAGGTGTGAATGTAAAAGAGGAAATAACTACTTAAAGCTGTCCTGAACTAAACAGTTCAAGAGTACAGCAATCATAGTCTTTTTGAGAACCAATGGCTAAAGTTATTTCTCCCCTGTCCTAACACTAACTCCAAAACAAAGTCTTAATTTCTGGCTCTCCTTGCTAGTTGTGTAAGGGAATTCCTCTTTCTTACTGAGTTGCTTTCTAATCACTAAGGTGGTCATCTCTTGTTGGATTCACTGAGCAAAGCAATGCAAATATGCCAGTTTTTGAAATCCAGGAGCCTCTCTGGCTTGAGTTGCCTAAGCTGACTTAGACCATTTTTGATTAAAGTTCACCATATCCACCTCACTGCCCTACCCCCAACTCAAACACCTCAGACTAATACCAAATTAAAGCTCATTTACAATGAGACGAAGAAGACAGCTGGATCTTTGACTTATCCTTTGTGACTTCAGAGTTTTAATCTTTTGGCACCAATGAAAGAAGATGGAGCCAATATATTTTAAAAGAACAGTCATACATAAAGTTAGTATCAGAATTCCTTAAAATCCAATAAGTCTCTTTTCTATGGAAAATATTCATCCAATACATTTACAAAATAAATACTTGAACTGGATACACACAAGTGCACACACACACACACACACACACACAGAGGCATTCTTGGTTTCTTATTAGGTAGCAATGTCATTAATGTTGTGACTCTTGTGTCTATTCTCTTTCCTATAATAGTCCAAAAGCATAATATGAATATCTCGATATAGTAGTGCATAACAAACTGGGATAAGCCAAAGGACTGATATAGTACCACAGGTTTACCTTTCCTTCGGATGGCCATGTTTATATAAAATGTAAGAAATGAAACTCACAGAGGCCTAGAGCTCTTCATCTCTTTAATATCAGCCCAGTGTGTTAAAGGACCTAAGAGCTCACATGGCTCTAGAAAGGGGGAGGCTTAGACAGCATACATGCATTGAGCGTGGTATGTCTTCCCTTTTCCTCCCTCCTCATTAACCTGGACCACTGCCATATGCATGTAAAAGGAGACCTGTTGAACTCCAAAGAGCTGTGGTAACTGACGTATTTACTGACTTTTTGTAGGGAATGTCAGCTGTTCTTTTGAAATGTGGCTGCTTCATCTTCTTTCATCGGGGACAAAAGAATGAAAATCTAAAGTCACAAAGGACAAGCCCAAGATCCAGCTGTCTTATTTAGTTTTTCTAATAGCAAACCAGCTGCATTTTAGATTTAGGGTAGGTCAATAGGATATAATACAGACAACTCTGTATAACCCTAGGCAACTCAAACCAAAGTATTCCTGGATTTTGAGGACTAGCATATCAGCATCAAATAGGAATTCGTTCTTAAATGGTCAGGGGTTTAGGAGTCTAACCCAATAAGGATTAACCACTTTGTGCATAGAAAAGTATATGTCTGATCTAGTTGGATTCTAAGATTAGAAGGAGAGAGGTGTACTGTGCAGAATGAGATCAAGAAGTCTAAAATTTAAGACTTAGCTCGTTGTTTTAGGGCCATTTATAGGACATGGAAAAATGGCTTGAAGACTGGTTTGTAAACTTTTCAGCTATCCTGGCTGACAGAAAGGAGTACTCTTCTGCACCAAATCCTGATGCCTTTGAAGTATGGGCTGCATTTATGAATATGCATACTGGAATGGCCATAGCACCACATGGGCCATACTTTGAAAGAATAAGACAAACACTACAGGCAAAAAAATGCCCAACATTAGAAAAGAGATCAGTTTTCTATGACACCTCGTTCAGGACCAAGTGATTATAAGAACAGTAACAGTTATCTTTGCTGAAAGAAAAATAGCTAATGTGAAGGCTAAGACTCAAATTTTGGTGAGAAATACAGAATATTTAAAATATTCCCATCATTAATCCAGTTGATAATGTTGTCTTAGAAATCAGACCTTGCCACCGAATAGAACAGCAAATGACCATGTGTAAATATTATGGGGAGTTGAGTCTCTAGAGAAAAGCTCTAGGCTATTTTGTACAAAATAATAAAGAACTGAAGTTGCTCATGTTTCTTTACGGATGAATTCCAGAACCATAATGTCTGTGATGGATTCTGCGTGCCAATCTCTGATGAATAGCAACTGAAACAGACTCATTTTCCACACATATTCAAGCAAATGATTCTTCATGTCTTTCCCAAGCTTTAATTTTGATTTACTGCTAATTTGATTTTGTTGTCCCCTGTTTAGGAGGCTTGTGGCATTGTCAGCGCTCACTCCCTTGGAGTGCAGGACAAATGGTGGTTAGAAGAGACTAATAAGTTTTTTGATCTCAGAATACATTCAACATGTGGAGGATTTTCTTTAGAACCAAAGTCCATAAGATGGAAAAATTTAAATGTCAAACTCTAGGCATAAATTACCACCACAGATTTTTATCTACATTCCCTTCTCTTTATGGAAGGAAAGAAGGAAGGAAGGAAGGAAGGAAGGAAGGAAGGAAGGAAGGAAGGAAGGAAG